ACTGGGGTTCAAGGAGACAGAAGCAGACATAGAAAAAGAAGCATAGATACAAAAGGCAACTGTCAACCAGCTCCACAGGCGGCTCCGTCCAGGAAACACACAGCTAGGCAGACGCGCTCCGAGCCAGCTCCCATGTCAGAGGATAAAGAGAACACATCCAGTTAGTCACAAACTGATTCAGTCTGATTGAGTTTTTATGTTTATTATTTTTTATTTATTCCAGGTAGGTTTTTGGAAGATAAACCAACGTATTCCAGAATCCATGCTTTGTTTAGATTTTGTGATTTTTTTTTTAACCTGACCTTTGTTTGGACCTAGGAGTTTTAAATATGTATTCTCTCTAATCATTGTCACCTTTCCCTACAGGAGCTCCATGACAACATTCAGAGCGAGTTGGATCAGTTGTCCCGACTGGACCTAGAATCCAGTGACCTGGACCCCAGAGAATGCTTCCCTCTGACTCGAGAAGTGGAGACCCATAAAGCCAGCCTTGATCAGCTACGACAACAGGTCCAGAAGAGCGAAGCGGCGGCCCGTGCTCTCGACCGATTTCTCGTTTCACTCAGCAAGGTGGACGATGACATATCTGGGGTCCAAGGGGCCCCCTGCAGTGATCCTGTGGTACTGCAAGACTGTCGCTGCAAGCTGTCTCTGATCAGACAGAGCATTGACAGTCTGAAAGAAAAGGCCCCTCAGCTGGACCTGCTGCTGCAGGGGGCCAGGCTGACCGTCACCAGGGACGGGTCCCCGGCCTCCTGCCTCGACATGGTGACCGTCCTGCTGAGGAGGCTGGAGGAGGCAGACGCTGGGCTGGCCAGCCAGCAGAGGGGCCTTCAGAAAGAGACCCAGAGCAAATCGTTTGGCCTGAGGAAGAGGATGGTCCTGGGGGAGCTGAGGAGGCTTCAGGATGCTGTTGAAAAACAAGGCCTGAAAGAGCCAACCATGCCCGCTGTGCAGCACATGTAAGTAACCCACACTCTGATGTCAATAGGAGCTTCTGGGCAGGTTCCTGTCACATCTATGCCATTTATAGAGGAACCTCTTCAAGTGCACTGCATAAACTATCTAGAAATAAGTCAAAATGTTGATCTTCATTTTAACAGACTGTATGAGCTGGTACTGAGGGAATCGTGTGCAGTCAGCATGCTTTACAGAGTAGCTATGTGTTACTATCAATGTGTGTGTGCAGGTGTGAGCATATTGAATTTTATGTTAGTGTCTAATCAAGGCTAATCTGCTTTAAAACAAAATAAATGTGTGTGACTGTAAGAGTCTTTCATCAAAAATGAAACGCTCAGTAAAACACATCCTCAATAAAATAAGACCCAATGTTATTTAATACAACATGTCCATGAAGAACGAGGACCCTAAAGTCCTTGGGCTGATGGTGCCCACCCGGGCGGGTGGGCACCATCAGCAGGAATACACTGGAAAAAATGGAAATCCAGATAAGTAATTTTTTCTTAAAATAAGTGCATTTGTTCTTGAATTGAGGAGATAAAAGAGACATTTAGCCAATGAAACAAGATTTTTTTAGATTTGA